GCACTTCCGTCGCCCGGGGCAACAGGGCCCGCCCCCGCGGCTCACTTCCGCCCGCCGGGGTGGACTGTACCATTAAGGCAGATGGGAGGGGGAACCGTCGGGAGTCCTCGGACGGCCCCACTCACAGTCGGGGGGCGGGGAGGGGCGGGCTCAGAACTCGAACTCGGGACCGCAGCGCGAGCATGCGCAGAGCGGGCTGGGCGTGCCCGGCGCGATGTCTTGCTGGGTGAAGTCCTTCCTTCCAGCATCCTGCTGGGGAGTCAGGGGGAGAGGGGACGAATCAAGTGATGGTCTTTGCATTGGAAGGGCCTGGAAGGCAGGGGCAGGTGTCCTACTCCTAGTGCCCTTGAAGGTGCCAGTGACCCCGCAGGTGTAAGCTGAGCGGGGCCCGGGGCTTTTTGTCGTTCCCGTGAGAAATGCCAGCATTTAGTGCATAGGTTGGCAAAGCAGTAAATGCTCAGCAAATAACTTATTTACAGCGGAGCAAAGAACAGCACAGGGACGGGCAGAGAGTCTCTCGTCTGTTCCTTTCTTCACGGGGATTGTTTCAAATTTTTCTATGTCCTCAGCTCTCAGCAGATGACCTCGCTGTCATCAGCACCAGTTCTTCCCTTCGGCTCCCCGTAGCAAGGGGACGATGTTCCTTAGGGTCCTCCCTAGCCTGGGAGGATTCTTACTAGCCAGAGGCAGTGTGACCAGACTCTTGGCCCCCTGGGCTGCTCCCAGGAAAGTGAGGCGATGTCACCTTCCCCAGGAGGCACAACCAGGACTGAGGGTGACATTCGTAGAAGGTGGCTGGGGCTCAAACCAAGGATGACTTTTTTTTTTTAAAAAATATATATTGATTTCAGAGAGAGGAAAGGAGAGGGAGAGAGAGAGAGATAGAAACATCAATGATGAGAGAGTCATTGATTGGCTGCAGCCTGCAACCCGGGCATGTGCCCTGACCGGTAATCGAACCCCGATCACCTGGATCCTAGGTCGATGCTCAACCGCTGAGCCACGCCCGGCCGGGCAAGGATGACTTTTAAAACAAGGAGGATTCTCCGGCAGTGGAAACAAGGAGCTCCCGCCCTTGGAGTGCTGGGAAAAGGATATTCCAAAGGGATCCCCACCCACCGAGTGGAATACCAGAGCAGAGACTGAGAATCCAGCTACTGAGGGGCTGCGGAGGGGTTTCCTGCTGCACAGAGGGTGGGTCCCCTCCACCCAGACTCGTATTAATTCTGTATTTGGACTATAGGCAGTGTTTACGTGCATTTACACTAAGTATCAGGCGCTGTGCTAAGCCCTTGAATGCATTTCCTAATCACTAAAGCCACCAGCCTGTCCTCTGATCATCCCCACTTCTCAGAGGCGGAAACTGAGCCACTGGAGCTGAGGTTTAAAAGTGGGCTCTCTGGATCCAGAACAAGCTCCTAGAAGGTGAGTCAGCCTGTCTTGTCCCCCCCCAGCCTAAGCTACATGTCCCCCACTGGCCCCATTCGCTGTGGAGGTGACAACTACCTTGCCAGGCCCTGCTGGGCCTAGGGGAGAGGGTGACAGGTCTGGATTCACCCAAGCTGCCGTTCACATTTAAAACTTCTCTGTGCCCCCTGCGTGTGTTACTCCGGGTGTGAGCTCCCCCTGGGCTGGGGGAGAGGGCAGGGAGGAGGGAATGGGGCTGGCCCAGATCCCATCCCCAAAGCCCGGCTTCCACATGGCTGAGCAGGAACTCGGGGCAGACCACACAAAGGAGGGCTTTGAGGATGCTCGATGCCCTCACCCCCCTGGCGCTTTGCTGGCCCCAATCTGGGCCTCCTGTGAGCCTGATTTAACAGGAAACTGGGGGCCGTGAGAAGTTCCTTGTGACCCGCTAATCCCAGCCTGCTGACTGGCCCACGCCCCCAGCAGAGGCACCCTCCAGGGCTCCTGGAGGGCCCAGGCACCAGGTGGCCCCAAGAACAACAAATGCCCCAGGGGGTTGTGATGCGGGAGAAAGTTTGAGACAATATCAGCTTTTCCGTCCCACTGCTGCCCGGGTTTTCTCTCCTAGGGAAGGGGCTGCCTGGAGAGGCCGGGACAGAGGGCAAGGACTTGGTCTTCTAGAGGCAGCATGGCAGAGGGGGTGAGTGCCCCTGCGCCCTGTGGCTCCCCTGCCCTCCCTCCACCTCCCCCCTTCCCTCTCTCCCTCCCTGCTCTCCACTTCTGGTCTGCCCACAGTTCCGGGCATTCACCCCCTACAACCTCTCTGTGGCCCTGGACCCCACCCAAAGGCAGGAGGCTTCGCAGCCACCTTGGGCAGGAGCCCCGGTGTAGGGTCCGAGCAGGCCATTGGCTCGGCTCGCCCAGGCTGATGGGAACCTGTCGCTGCCTTTTCCTGACTCCTGTCGGCCCAGGCGGGCACCTTCCGTGTGGTCCCCGTGGAGGAGCAGGAGCTCCGCGCCCAGCTGGAGCGGCTCACAACCAAGGACCATGGGCCTGTCTTTGGCCAGTGCAGCGAGCTGCCCCCCCATACCTTGCAGAAGGTGAGGTAGCCTCGGGTGCAGGGAGGGGCAGGCGAGGGAGGCAACAAGCTGGGGAATGTCTCCTGTAGAGAGGGCCCTCCCCCAGCTCTCCCGGTCATCCTGAACCTAATCAACTGGCCTGTTTAGGGGCCCCCCTGGAAGTCAGGCCATGGCAGCCTCTCCAAGACCATAGCAACAACAGGGCTCCCTGAAACAAATGCTGGGACCTGGGGCCTCCGACCGGGGATCGTCCTAGACTCTGAGATTAGGAACGTTGGTTTGCAAGTGACCCTGGCAAGAGGCCTGAGTTCGAGAATCACACCTACTTCCAACTTGCTGTGTGACCTCAAGCAAAGTGCTTTCTCTCTCTGGGTCTTGCCTCTCAAACCTATGAAAATAAGTTGTTGGACCCGCTCAGAAATGATCAGACTGTGCTCTGTCGAGATCCCCAGAGCCGTCTTGGGGCTGGGCTGAGCTGGGCTCCCACAAACGAACCCAGGGTGAGCAGTTGGGCCTAATTTTCTCCAAATACAACTGGCTGTGGGCAGAGCTGGGATGGCCCGGCCGCGGCCCCCGCGCCACTCAGCCCTGTCACCCTGGGTGCGTGTGTCCCGTCCCCGCACAGCACCTCCCTGTGACTTCCTACTTCCACCCGACTCTGTTCCAGGCCAAGGACGAGCTGAACGAGAGAGAGGAGACCAGGGAGGAGGTGGTGCGGGAGCTGCGGGAGCTGGTGCGGACGCAGGCGGCCTCGGGGCAGGAGCTGGCCCAGGCTGTGGCCGAGAAGGTGCAGGGGAGGGACAGCGCCTTCTTCCTGCGGTTCATCCGCGCGCGGAAGTTCCACGTGGGGCGCGCCTACGAGCTGCTCAGAGGTGAGGCCCGCGCTGGCTGCTGGGGACCTGGCCAGGACGGCAAGGGTGGGGTTTGAAGGTGCTACCAGTGATGCTCCATCGGGAAGGGCCGATGTGTCCAGCTTGGGGTCTGGCGTTTATCTCCCCCCGGGCCCCACCCAGCTCACCCTGTGCCTCTGCCCCTGGGAGGGAGAAACACCAAGTAACAGTCGTCCCCAGACTTAGGATCGCGCCCCACGTGTGGGCAGTTTGCATATGATGTTCAGGCCTAGAATCTTGTTGGGTGACCGCGACAATTATCCTGGGGGGGGAGTGTCCTGCTGGGTCACACACAGGCCTCCGGATCCCCACCCCAGGAGGGGCTGGCTCCCTGAGGGGGCTCCTCTGTTCCCCCCGGGCCAGGCTACGTGCAGTTCCGGCTGCAGCATCCCGAGCTCTTCGACAGCCTGTCCCTGGAGGCGATCCGCTGCACCATCGAGGCGGGCTACCCCGGTGTCCTCTCCAGTCGGGACAGGTATGGCCGAGTGGTCATGCTCTTCAACATCGAGAACTGGGACTGTGAAGAAATTACCTTTGACGAGGTCAGTGTGTGTGTGGGGGGCACGACTCCCTCCCACCCTCTGGGTTGGGTTCCGTCCCCAGCCCTGGCCTCTACTGGGCTCTCAGTCCTGGCTCCCTGGGAGGCGAGGCCTGCGGGAGCCGGAGGCAGGCAGCCAGGGCCACCAGGCCTTTCCCAGGCAAGGGGAGGACTCCTAGGGTGTGCCAGAGCAGCTGCAAAACCCAGCTGCTTTGCAGGCAGAGCCCTGGTGTCCCTGCCAAGTGGGGGGCGACAGCTGTGGGCCACGAGCTGGGTCAGCCCTGCCAAATGCTGAAAGCTGAGAGCGACAGGGAGAGCTGGGAGAGCTCCTGACCATGGCTGTGACATTCACGGTTATTTTCTCGGGATACATTCACAGAGCGGGGACTGTGTGACTCCCAGTGTCCCAGCTCTAAGTCTGTGACAGGTGACCTCCGGTAAGGATGCACCAGTTAGCTCCCCCCCTCCCCCCCTCCCCGGGACCTTGATCCATGTGGGTGGGTCCGGCAACCCCGTTCACTCTGTGCCAAGATCTTGCAGGCGTATTGTTTCCTTCTGGAGAAGCTGCTGGAGAGCCAGGAGACTCAGATCAACGGCTTCTGCATCGTCGAGAATTTCAGGGGCTTCACCATGCAGCAGGCTGCTGGGCTCCGGGCTGCTGACCTCAGGAAGATGGTGGACATGCTCCAGGTGAGGCCTCGGAGCCCTGTCCTTCGGGGGTCCAGTCACAGGGCCGGAGGGAGGCTGGGAGGCGGGCCCGGAGCCCTGGTTTCGTGGTGCTGGGGCTGGAACCTTGGGGAGAGGCCGTGGGGGAGTGAGCGGGAGCTTCTGAGGCCATCGGGGCTGCGGGGTGGGGCGCTCTGTGTCCCCGCAGGACTCCTTCCCAGCCCGGTTCAAAGCCATCCACTTCCTCCACCAGCCGTGGTACTTCACCGCCACCTACAACGTGGTGAGGCCCTTTCTGAAGAGCAAGCTGCTGGAGAGGGTGAGCACGCGGCCCTGAGGGCGCAGTGCTCGGTGACTGGCGACCAGTGGGCCGGTGAACGGGGCTGGAGCAGGAAAGCCTCCATGAGACAAGAGGGACAAGGGTGGGGGACCAGGGGACCACGCCGGAGCCCTGAGCTGAGTGGATCCCACGAACAGCGCGAGGAGGAGGGTTGGTCTTCGCCTCCATCACCATGGGCACCCTGCTCAGCTCTGCGTCCCCTGCTTTCCGCAGGTCTTTGTCCATGGAGACGACCTCTCCGGCTTCTTCCAGGAGATCGACAAGGACATCCTGCCGGCCGATTTTGGGGGCACCCTGCCCAAGTATGACGGGAAGGTGGTTGCTGAGCAGCTCTTTGGCCCCCGGGCCCAGGCCGAGAGCACCGCCTTCTGACAGCGCCTGCCGTCTGACCCGTAGTTAGCACCCCGGGGCGTCTCCTCAGAGTCCTGGAGCCAGAGGCTGGGAAAAGCGCTGTCTGAGGCCCCTGGTTCCCCTGCCCTCCCTGAGCTTGAGTGAGCTCAGGTGTCACCCACCTCCCGATTTGGGGGCAGTAAAAGCTCGCTCCTCCAGACCCCTTGCCTCCCGGATGGTTTTACGGATGGATTTTCTCGGCACTCAGGCCTCAAGTGACACAGGGAAGGCTCTTTACCATCAGTTTCAGGCATTTGATGGTGACGGATGTCTACTCCCCTGCTCTGCACAGTGTGACAAATACAAATGCTTCCCCTCTGTGGAGCTGGCGCTCCTCAGGTGTTTCATGATTTAAAAAAAA